ATTATTTTATTGGTCACCAAAGAAAATGGTCTTTGCCTAACATCTGTTCATTCTTAACTTTTAATAAACAGAAAGACATACATGTATTTATAGAGAAAAATATTATATATAATGAAGAAAATCCTTTAACCCTCTCTATGAGAACGTGGTCATCTTGACAAACTTTGCAATTATCATGTAACTGGAAAATCCAACCACCCAATATGCTTGTGTAAGAAGCAAATGAGTATGTTGTGACAACCCCAGTTCAGAGTGAGCTAACAGAGTCCAGACAACCATGTTATGGTGTAAATACAATCTCCCATCATGCTAGAGTTGGGCAAAACTTTGACCACCTGTAAAAAGACATACAGATCCAAATCAAGGCCAAAGGGTAAGGCGTGAAACTGGTACCCAACCTAGTGGTGAACAAACCTAAGATAACACAATGAGGGATGTAAAACAGGAACATGGGTATAAGAATACGAAATGTCTACCCTGGGCATCTTTAGTTCGATTGGAAATGGATGGTAAACAAAGTTGGTACAAGACAGTGTCCCACCCTCAGAAAATCCCATAAGCAAAGAAGCCACGTGTGTAGGAAAACATCAAAAGATGGCAATTCCCCCCAATGTGGAGGTAAGTAGGAGGAAGGTATCCCACAAAATTCCCCAAGATATAGGTGGAGTGCCTCAGAAAGGAGGTGTATGATGGATAATTTCTGTAGGAGAGTTGAGAAATGCTGGAAAATGTAATGAAGGATAGGATTATTAGGGTCTGCCCCCATACAGGCAATAGAGGTTTTATATGCAGAGAATGAAAAAAAAAATCTGCATGATGGGAATCTAAGGCAAAATGAACCAAAGCCCTTTGAGGGCAAGGCATGCAAGCACCATCTCTCAAAAGAGAGACAAAAAGGCTCAGAATAAACCATAATGTATGGAGAAGAAGAAGGAAAAACAATAACTGTGAAACATGTCTAATAAGAGCTGAGGTAGGCCTAGCAGAGGCCTGGGAAGGTAAGACATAATCATATGGAGGAAAATTGTCAAAGTCTAAATTGTCCCAGATGGGTTCGGCAGTTTTAGGAGAAAGGCGAGCAACATTGGGAGAAGAAGGTTAGGTGGCCCCTGGCCCCAGAGGTCTTCACAAACTAAATTAATTGTAAGAAGTATAAAATATAAATAATTATGAAAATGAAATAGTAGTTATATTGTAAAATTAAGTAAATGTGTATTGACAATAAGGAATTTATTAGATGGTATGTGTTGAAAAAACAATATAATTAATGTAATTTACAATTTACAGTAAGATGAATTATAGGTAAGCCTAAAACAACAAAGACACTTGTTAAGCCTAATCTAACGTTGTAGTACAAAAGATATCACTAAGCTCTAATTCAAAACTCTAGCCTCACAATAAATATTTAAAAATCTAATAAACTTATGTTAATGAACCCAAATAACTATAAATGATAATATCAATATAAAAAGATATTCAAAAATCTATAACAGTATAACAGCTTATCTGTCCAAAGTTGGTGGACTGTATTCAAAATATGTGGATCCCCAAACTCGAGGCCCAACAAAGGTCAACTCATATAATGATTACTCTTCTGATCAGTTGCGTAGCAAGGGTTCTCAGCACCCGGGGGCAAAAAACACTTTTGGTGCCCCCACCTCTGAAATGTTTTGATTATTTGTTTTGTGACTCATTTCCCACTTAATGACAATAACATAAATAATTAATTACCGCCTTACACAGGCCTAAAATAAAGTCACAATATAACACCTCACGATATCACAACTGTAAACCTGGAACTAATGTAGTATAGCCTACTAGGTGTACTTACATAATTTGTAAACCATTTTGATATTTTTTGTCATCCAGTATTGTTCAAAGTCACATAGCTAGACTAATCTTTCAAGCATGCAGAATAAATTTCTGTTATATCCCTAGTTTTGAAACTTATGTTTTATATGAGAAGCTAGTTACTTGTGGTGTACACGGATTATAAAACAGATTGATAAAATACTACTAAGTTTACAAATAACAAATCTGATTAGTCTACAAAACTGTACATATACTTAACTAGATCTTGTACAGGTAGCATTCTGGTTTTCATGGTTACATTATATGAACCTTTCGTGCTTTTGCTGCTGCAAATGCATCAATTAAACTATCGAAATTTAAGTTATTAAGTATGTCTTTTTCAATATTTAATATTGCCAAGCTACTAAGTCATTCTTGAGTCATTGAAGTTCTCAAGAATGTAAGAATTAATTTCAGCTTGCTGAAGGACCTTTCACAACTAGCAATAGAAACCGAATTGTTAACAAAATTTGCAATGCAATTCTTAAATTTGGGAAAACATCTTCACCATATGAAATTATAAGAGTTAGCAAATCAGTTGCAACCATTGGTTCAGGAAAATCGGTCTGTGTTCTTTTACTTATCAACATTTTACAGTCTTTAACTTCTCTGTACAATTCTGGTCCATCAATATCACATGGATAGCTCTTTGCTAAGTAAGAACATTTTTCTTGCAATTTTCCATCTTCGAATTCTCCAGAAACAATATTTTGTCACATCTAGTAAAAATCCAAACCGTGAATCTAAATCTAATAATCGAGAAAGTCTTCAGTTATTTCTGTAATCAAGCGATTAATAACATCCTTCATGATGAGATAAATTTCCTGTTCAGCAGTCAATCCAGCATCAGCTGCATTTTCACCTGACATTCATTTACGACG